TAGTTGAAATGTTTTTTAAAACTGAATTTTAATTTACTTCATCTATATAAGCAAAATTATCTTCTGAATATTTTTAATTAACCCACCTGGGTAGATTTTTAAATTCTTTATTTTTATTTCTTATTTGATTTTGCTAGCAATTGTCAAAATTCTATATTCAATTAATCATATATTATATAATTCTTTTTTGCTTTAGATGACAGATTTCCTGATTAATAATATTGTTTTATGTGATTACGTATATGCTGAAAATTTAGCAATTTATATTATAAAAATTTAGATGTTTGATTCATCTAGCATCACATGATTTTGTATAACACTACCCATTATTTAACAATGAGTCAAAACATTTAGTTACTATTCAAAATTGCAGTATATTTCTATAAAAAATTTATATAAAGTAGATAAAAAAATAAAGACTATTTAACTACTTATTTGTTTTTACTAGTTGTATATTAAAATAAAAGCCTTTATATTTTAAAATCTTTGATGTATTTAAACTGTTTGCACTATATAATATTGAAATATATACTTATAAAATAAGAATGCTATATGTCTACAAAAGTAAATTTATTATGTATGCCAATTGAGCCACCAGATTCAGTTTACTAATATAAAAATGAATAATAGCTAAATCATAAAACTTTTATTATATACAAAAAGGAATCTAAATTTTATAGTTATTATATCTATGCATTAATATAGTGTAAACAAGATAAATATTTGCTTTATTCTCATAATAGTTTAAGCAACTGCTTAAGTTGTAGTGAATCAAAAATTTAGTTATAAATTTTATTTGTAGAAGTGGTGTAAATTGTTGATTACATTTTTTAAAATCTTCTAAAAGTTTATTTATTTATTTATGTAAATAAAAAAATTTGTTATAAACCTCATAAATGAGTTTTCTTCATAAACTAAAAATGATAATAAAATAGAATAAACAATATATACCTCTAATGCTAAAAGTACTAGAAATTTGATTCTATTAATGGCATCAAAGCTTTATCAATTACTAATCTAGTTTTTAAAAAAGCTATAAGCAATATAATCTAAATTTAAAGTTTATAAAAAAGACCTGACTATATTGTCTAGATTATATAAATATAACAAATTTTTAAAACAATATATATATACAAAAATATCAGCAATCTATTGTATAAATATCTATATTCATTTATAGTCCTGTTTCATCAGGACTATCTTTTAAATTTAGTTGCTGATTTATCAACTTCTTTACTCTTAAATGTACTTTTGTAAAGTCTTTCTTCTTTTTAAATAAAGGTATTTTAAATGGTTTGATTTCAGAATTAAGCATAGGTATATCATCAACAACACAACAAAAATTAGGCTATTTTCTTGTATTACTTATAGTATAATTAAATTGAACTTCATGTTCTGCAAGATGTTTGAAAAACAAAGAATTTATATAAGAATATAACAGCTTGTTACAATATAATTCTTCAAACATTTTGGCTGGAAAATACATAGATGTTACATCTATAATATGGGGATGAGTCAGTAGAAAGAGACAAATCATTTTTAGTAAAATTTTTTAATTTTTAAATTAAAGTATCTTAATAATTATTTAATCAAATTTGCTAAAAATTTTTTTATTTTAATTTTGAAATTATATAAAATTAAAATAACAAAAAATTCATTAAATTTAATAAGATAGTTATTAAAATATTTAATAAGATAGTTGTTAAAATATTTAATCTTAAAGTCAAAAAAACTTTTACTTAGAAAAAATTTGACTCTTTTCTACTAACTCACCACCATATGTTAATAATTAATAGTTATTTATATTTCTTTCCAAATAATTGACAAAGATAAAGATTAAGGCAAAATACAGATTATTAAATGTATGAACAACAGCCTTGCTTAGCTCTGATTTATTGGTTTGTATATAACTCTTCTTCCCCATTAAATGCTCCATTGAAGCTTCTTAAAGAACAGTAGAGGTTTGTGATGGTATTATTGAATACTGGATTATATATGGATTGTTTTGAGTTACTTGGTCCTATTCACAGTTTGTAAAAAATTTTGAATAGGGATATGGCCAAGAAAGGACAATAATTGATGCAAACATCCTAAGTATAATCAAAGAATATATGTAACCTTACTCTCTAAATTCATGTTATCGCATAATACTTACAAAATCTCATATGTCGTTCTACTTCAAACTATAGATCATAGCTTTGTCAACAACACTTCGCTGGTACTAATGAAATTTCTGTATGATATTTATATTACCAACTTTTCACTAAAGCATGTAAATAACATCAAAAATGTAGTCTAAAGACAGGAACAAAAGGCTAAACTTACTACGTATCTCAATCAATGACACTATCTCTAACTGTTTCTTAATACTCATGAGATCAATTTCAATTAATTTATCTTGTTCATCATTCTCATCATCAGATTTGGAAGAAGCAGATGCCAATAGAGACTTGGTGGTTTTAATCTATGCAGATAAAAAGATTTATCTTTATTTTTATAACAAATTTGGGATAGATAATCTTGCACTCACTCTTTTTAATGAAGCAGTAGTTTCGATGGTTGACGTTTCCTCTTTATTATTTGGCACTCAGAAAATGTGTACTGGGTTTGGATCAGATAATCATCTGGAAAGATAGGTCAGAATGATAACATTTGGAACTGTCGATTTCTTTCTGAAGAAAAAAAGATGCAAACTTTTTATAAACATGTTTTTAATATTGTGAACAAGCTATTATTTTGTTAACTACAAATAATTATTAAAATGAAACTTTAAATATATCGAACTTATATATGCCACTTCAGCAAATATTTACGTTAGCTTATAAGTATCAGGTTAAAAATATTCAGAAGATAATTTTGCTTATATAGATGAAGTAAATTAAAATTCAGTTTTAAAAAACATTTCAACTA